CGGCGCGGGGAGGCCGGAGAGCGCGGCCCGCGGGCGGCGGGTCCGGCGGGAGCCAGGCCCGGGGGGGGAACTGGAGTTTCGCGGCCAGCGGCGGCAGGTGGGAGGGAGAAGCTCGGGCAGCAGGAGCAACGGAAAGACAAAATGGCTGCTGCACAAGAGGAAGTGAGGTCAGGGCCCGGAGCATGGGAGGCGGGCGGGGAAGGGGCGTGTGCTCGGGGAAGGCGCAGCTCGTAGGGGGGGACGAAGCCGCCATTTTGGAACCGGGCAAAGGGGAGGCCGGGCGGAAGACGGGGGGCGGCCATCTTAGAGTCGGGAAAAGCATGTGAGGGCGAGCTCGACCCTGGGGCTAGGAGCCGGGGACGCTAATAAATAAATACCTTTATAGCCCGAGCTCCGAAACAAGCTGCCTCCACTTCAAAATTGCCTCGGGAGTAGGAGCTACGAGAAAATTAGAAGCGTGATTTCACAGTGCAGTGTGAGCAGCACAACTGGTGACAGCTGCACCCGTGCGGGCAGGGTGGCATGGCAGCTATGCTTCAGGGTGTTGCGTGGACTCTTTCTTATTTATAAAAGGAAAGTAAGTAAATTTTTTGAAACGTCAGCTGCTGGTTTTCCTTGTCTGAATTCTGACCTGATTTTGGTTTACACCCATAAGAGAGACGTAAGACACAGGAGCCACAGGATACCCATGCCCTGCCAGGAGCATAGCCAGCAGCAACCCTTCCCTTTTGCTTAGTCCTTGCAAGACGGCAGCTGGAGTACTATGATGCCCCCATATACAAAGATACTGACTGGACAGAGCAAGTCTGGCAGACGGCTGTTAAGGTGGTCAGGGATCAGAGCATGAGGGATGACACAAGGCTCAGAGGCTGGGCTTTTTCAGCCTTAAAAAGGGAAGGCTTTGTGAGGACTTTGCTGCTGTCCACAGCTACCTCACCAGAAGACATAAAGAGGATGGAGGCAAACTCTTGTCAGGCACAGGTTAGAACACAGGAAATTCTGATTATATACAAGGATTTCTTAATCTTTTTTTTTTAAAAAAAACCATGGTGGTGGTCAAATACTGGATCAGGTCTCCCTAAGAGGTGGAACCTCTGTCTTCGTAGTTGTTCAAAACTCAGCTGAGCAACCTGAATTAAATGGACATGCTCTGAGGAAGGGGTTGGACTAGGTGACCTCTAGAGGTCCTTTTCAATCTAAATTCTTCTGTGGGTCTATAAAAAAGTTAAATATTCGATTTTTCATTATAAGTATTTAATAGAGGAGCAATTACATTGCGTTAGGGAAACACAGGACTTAATTTCCATGTTAATTCATTGCATTGTATCTATGTTTGAGCTGAGTAACATGCAGTTAGCACCCTTCTCTGAACAGCCTGACTCACTCCCTTGAAGCAGAAATTGATAGGAGAAATCTAATAGGCTGCTACTCTTTACTTTGTCTCACTGAATCAGTTCAGAACTCTAGTAACAGCAACAAAAAGTAATCTTTAAGAATTTCTGTGTACCTCTGCAGTAACACCAGGGAGCCACAGCCTGCAAACTTCAAAGCTTTAAGAAATACTAAGTTACTAATTTGTCATATCTGACAATCAATTCCAATATATCATTAATGTTTTTTCAAGCAGATTGTAAAACCTCATCTTCACTTTCAGTGTTTTAGCTGAAAACCTTCACAAGCATGTATACAGTGTACCAGGTGCTTTATATAAGACACTGATATAATCAGATTTCATACAGCTGTCACTAGCATAGATGACTTTCAGTGGTGGTTTCAGCCTCCAGTTTTAAATTTTTAAAAATTCCTTTCCCTGTAACAAGCAGTCTTCCTTGCCCTCTTTTCCCCTACAGTTTCTGGCTCCTTCCTTTCAGATGTGTTAACCAGTTTATAAAAGCCTTCAATTCTGTACATGAGTAGTTCCTGTGTTGTTTTTGGTTTTTTTTTTTTTTAAACAGCAAAACACGTAACTGTTTGGAAGATAATGGGGCGGATTCCACTTACTACATAATCAAGGTAGACCTATTTTAAATGGGTTGCACCCTTCATTCAGACCCGTATCTATTTCATTAAGAAATCCAAACCAAAGGATAATACAACTTGAAATATAATCAAAGTGCTCATTACAGCCATTGCTTTTGAAGTCCAAAAGAAATACAGGAAGCAAAACTATGAAAAGAGCTGTTTTCTTGGCTTGCTTTGTTACTATACTAGTCCTCAAAGCTAACAGGCATTTAGATGTGGCATAAATAAATTGAGAAGTAGCTGATGCAGAAAATAGAGAAGGTGCATTTTCTCCTGTGCTTCCAGTAAGTCAGAGGACAGAGCTTTGCCAAGGCTATTACTGGCCATCAAACCCACAGCAAAGTTTGGGCATGCTGTCTATGTGGTGTAATTACTAAAGCAGACAGATATATACTCCATGAACAGTTTCCAAATGGCCACTCCCTCTAGAGTTGGGAGGGTGGGGAATTACTAAGGGAACCCCTACCTGCATTCTGGAAGTTAAATACGAACCTAAATGGGTTTGAAATAAGTGTATACCATCAGCTGTATTTGAAGCTCATTCAACCTTCACAGCCATCCTTTTCCTGACGACAGCCTCCAGCAATTCATCCTGTTACTTCCCAACACGAGTTGCATCTGAACCTTTGCACACCAACAGCCCTGTGGTCCCTGAAACCCTCCATTCCATTTTTTTCAGCCTATTTCTCCTTTGATCCTCCACATCTCACTACATGTGTTCAACAACCCAAGTGCATTAGACAGATTGATCCCCTTCAGTGTATCTCGCACAGCGGAAGAGAACATGGCACAAGTTATCAATGTTAGTCAGATGTTTATTCAGGAGGACTAACAGTTTGGTAAATTAACGCTTTCCACCAACACGGGGAGCAGAAACCTTGACTGGTTTCACAATCTTCTGCTTTGGTGCTGCTTTTGTAGGAGCCTGTAGAGAAATAAAAAAGTATGAGCAAAGAGAAGCATTTATCTGCAGTCCTGAAAGTGTCCCCCTGTATTTAAGATTCCTGACAGAAATTAGGCAACTTAAATCAGATCAGGTAAGAATTAGACTAGAATTACAATCTATCAGATTAGAATGATGTGAACAGATGATTACACAGATATCACTGTAAGCCTACAACATGTATGATGCCAATATATGGTATTAATTCATAAGTAATGACACACATGCTTGCATTCATCAATATATTGTTACCAAGTTCCTAGATAGTGGACACATCCCACAAGCTTTTAGTCATCAAAAAAAAAAAAAAAATCTATGACATATGGTCAGAAAGTTCTTTTACTGTAATGTTTATTTCTGCTGTACACAATGTTCATTCTATTCAGCTGTTTGGGTATATTTAACTTTAGTACACAAGTCTGTTCAGGGTGCTTCCAGATCAAAAAAGATAAACAAATGCTTCTTCCAAACACAAATGGGAATTTCCAATTAAGCACTGCACAGAATGTTGTGTTTCATTGTTTCTATCCACCTATTGCATCTTACCTTTGCAGCAGAAACAGCCGTTTTCTTGGTTGCCTGCTTAGCCTTCTTGGCTTCTTTTGCAGCCCTGTTAATTCACAGAAAAAGTTATTCGTGTCTGCCATTCACTGTTTCTTTGTCTCAGCACTGGATAAACTCTGAGATTGAGAAAGCAATGCATTATTTCAGGTTTATCCTCTGCATTCAGTACCCTCTAGGGAGGCTATATTTTCACAAAGAAAAAGGCCAAGAAGATACCCTTCTCTGCTGCTACTATCTCTTGCTGAGATTACTCAATGTTACCACTAAATATACTGATTAAAAAAAAAACAACCAACACAAAAAGAGTTATAAAACACAGAGCTCATCTAGAGATTAAGCTTTTGTATGAAAAGGATTAATAATCTTTGAAAAGCCTGGTATAGCTCCACTTATCTCCAGTTTCTCACCTAATAGCTTGTTCTCTCTGAGCCTTTCGTACTTCAGGCTTCTGATTTCGTTTAGCCATAATCTCAGCTAAGGACGCACCAGTGATAGCTCTCTGAAACTTAACAGCACGACGTGTGCGCTTCTTTTGTATTTCTTCCTAAAATGGCAGAAGATGAAGGCAGACAATTAGTATCACAAGATGTTAAACAGAAGGCTAAAAACAATTATAGAAACAAGCTGCTATTGAGATTGAAGCTATTTTAAAACTCTATACAGTAGTAGAATTTTACTCCTCACTTTGGAGATAACCGATTTCTTGATTTACCAAAGCAGATCAACAGCTAAGAAAGAATAATGTATTCTCCTTTCCCAGGTATAAAAATATTTCTTTGGAAGAATGTCAGTTCAGTTTTCTCTAACTCCCCAAAAAAAAAAAAAAAAAAAAAAAAAAAGGGCAGTGGGGATAAAGTCCACTTTGATGGAATTTTCTGAAAGACACTTCCCATCTGTTTAAAGTGGGATCACAGTGCTGGGCAGCAGTGTAAACCATGGAGCATCAGCTTTCCTTCTCCAAACAAACTGGTAAAAACATTGACTTGTAACACAGATGTAAGCCTTTCAAAATGCTCTTTTGCTGTGCATGTTTAAACAAGAGCAGTGAAAGCACCTCACATTACACACCTTTTCATCTTTTTCATGCACTGGCAACCACATAGGAGAGACCTCCTACTAAGCTGCAGCCCAAAGTTTTCAAGAAGGGTAGGTGAAAAGCTCCCTCACCCTTAACGCCCAATTCAGCTCTCTATGCTTTCACCATTCAGGAAGTTTACAAGTCCAAACTTTCAGAAAGCCTGCATAGTAAACAGCATTACCCACCTTCTCTAAAACTAATTTTTTTAAACACATGCCATTCATGCAATTGTTAAAATCTACTAAACCTACTGTGATTCTGAGCGGTCCCTCAGAGATGTGACACAGCACAAATGCAATGCTTTTGCTGAACTGGTTACCTTTCAAACATATAGCAGCATACAAACTCATGCACATTTTCAGCAGTATTGGCCAGTCTTCATGCTGGTTATACAGGTCATGCTTCTGCTAAACATCAGCATGCTCAAATTACCTCTATTCTAACAGAGCAGTGACCACATCTTTTGGTAGGAAACTTGAGAGCATCATTAGTTGGTATCTACTTACCGATTGTCCTTTTTTGTGTTTCCGCCTGTACAGAACAGTCCAGTTGATTTGACGGGGGTTTCTCTTGGAAAGGAACGCAGACTCGCATTTTGCATTCAAAAACTGAAAAACCTGGGAAGATAAAGTATTTTGTATAAGCTTTGTTTCTATGACTATGTAATGACTACAAGTAATGACTACAGTTTAGGTTAACACAGCAAGTAAGTCTTTGATTCAGTGTTTTTCAACAGTGACGCTTTTGTATTCCAAAGCTCTGACAATTAGAAATTTCAGAATTTAATTAAAAGTTTGGAATTTTGTTCCATTGATCAAACTGATCTCTTACAA